ACACATTATTTTATAAACGTCTATAACTAATTGTAGAGGTGCTGTTGTCTTTAAACTCTTGTCTAAGGGGGCTGATTACATACCTCAAGTTGGTTCGGTGGTAGGAGCAGCAGGAAAGCAGTTAAGCCAAATATTAGAAGATGCAGATCATGAGCTCATAAGAAATAAATTAAAAATGATTAGCGATTGCGGTGATGTCGTCGAACAGTGTGAAATTGCACGAAAAGTAGCACGTAAATTGGCAAATCGATATAGAGAACAGTTAGTTCGATTGCACGGCGAGAATGAGAAAATCGATGGCGGTTGCTGCTCATGCTTAAAATTGTTGCCATTCATTGACTCCGACGATGACGATCCACCTGCTGCAAGAGTGGCTACATTCGCCATCAACTACATAATTTCAGCTATTCCAGATCAAAGTATAACAAAGCTAAAATTTAAACATGGTAATAAACAAGATTCACTGGTACAGTTGCTAGTTGAACTAGCTTGTTCTGCTCGTGGACCAAGCATAACTTTGCCGAAATGTATTCATGATGATCCAAATCAGCGTCTACCTCTTGCTCCAAAATTGAAACCTGTTTTGCAACATCAGCAACAGCTAATCTCATCTTCAAGAAATCAGGTAAGACATTCACAAGAAAACGCGAATTAGGCAAATCTATTTCAATGAATATGAGCCTATAAGGTTCATTTTCATTACTTCATTTTTTCGAAGTTAATTATATAGAAGAGTACAGCATATTTTAAGTGAAAGGTTCAATCATATAAAAAAGCCGCCTTTCCCTGTTTCCTCGTCTCACCGTCCCAGATATGTCAATTTAAAGTTTCCATCATAGTGTAAAGATGGGAATTAAGCATTTTTACGGAAGTCTAAATCTCAAGATGTTTGATCGCTTTTGACTACAAGAAACACCCATAGAGTAGCCAAGCGTCCATGATTCGATGTTGAATCATATTTTATCTACACTGAAAAAAAAAGGTGCCGTACCGAACCATTTTGTTTCAAAAATCGAAACCTTTAAAAAGGTTTTGTATGAACCTAAGTCACCTTCAAAATGATTTTCAGCGGTCTAGGAATCTTTTTTTAGAGGTACCGTAGATCTCCTACGACACCCAAAAAATGTTTAGAATTCGCTTCAAAAACTGAAACCTTTTTCAGGTTCCGTACTATGTATGAAACTATTTTTTAGACCCGTAGCAAGTACGAAACCTTTTTTTTAGTCCACGAAACCCTCGTTGATTTAGTATTCATACCATTTTTTCCCAGTGTAGTAATCAAAGAATCAAATCGAAAAATAGCTACTGTTTTATTTCAAACGAACATGTATCGTGAGGGTAATGGTAGGTGCAATTTCGTTTCAAGAGTGCAATATGAATTAGTGAGTGGTGGTGGACTGAATAAAGTTTACTTAGAGTAAAGATGTGGACTTAAGATTGAGGACCTTCACTTTACTCTCAAGATTACCTCCCATTCTCATACTCTCCCTGAGCGTCATCCTCATCCTTACCCTCACATTTCACATCTCAAACATATGCTTATCACCAATATAATTAATTGAATTTTATCAACTGTGTCAGTGAAAAACATAACTCCGCTAAATATTTGAATATGCATACTTGATTTAAAGCACAAATCATATGCGGCAATGTTACAATCGTACAATTATGAATTTTCTTTATATTCCTGAATAGATTGAGTCCGTATCTGATCTCGGATTTTGAATTTGATTACTACAAAAAAGTACTATTGTGGTCACATTTTCTTTCTTGCGAAGATCTTGAGTCGTAAAAAAAGAATATCTATAATACTTTGCATATTGTATATTATAAAATAACTTTATTTCTCGTAAACAGAATACTACAGCTAACATGGAGGCACAAGAGAATAGACCTTCGGATGGTTCTGCGCACTACTCATTGTCATCCGCAATAACCGAACGATTTCACCTCTCTGAGTTTTTTCGAGCTCCAGGGCTGTTGTATGACCGCGAAGAAGATCCCAAAAGAAATAGCGAACACCAACATCCTGACATAGCTGTAAACGACGAAGAAGACAACCGAGATCAACGAGACCAGGTTATTGACAATGAAGAACACCAAGCCCCATGCGAAAATCATCCAACTAACAATAATATTCCTACTACACAGGAAAGTGAAATTCCTCAAGAAAGTGAGAGATGGGCTCTATTGCCACATATGAATCCAGACCACTATGGCTATCGACTATGTAGTATGATAGAAATGAAATTAGCGAAACAAGAACTAGCATCTATGTGTGGACGAACATGTGTGGCTTGCTGTAACTGCTGTTGCTGATTTTTGCACGTTTTTTAATAATAAAATTCACTTTTTTTTAATTATACAGTCTTTAATAAAATGAAAATTTCAGATTAATTCATAAACATGACTGAAAATCGGAAACCCCCTCGACAACAATCTGCGCCTACTTCGTGAGTCGGAACATTTCTTTTGAAAATATATTACTGTCGTTTTTGCAGTCCTCTCGATCCTTATCGTGGTATCATCAAAGAAAATCCAATAGAAAATCATTTCACTGACAAACGTCTTCGAAAACAAATGCGACAGATCGGGCTGGTTTGTATCTCCCTTTCTACTCACGTGGTCACACTCATCATTTGACATATAGATTTCAACACCATCTCGGAAGAAAGATGATGGCCAATCTTCCCTGGCACGTGAAGAATATCGGATTCAAAGTTCAGAAGGAGAAAAACTGAAGCAATATCGACGAAAGTTCATCACAACTATGACAGATAAGTAGGAAGTGTTGATTTCCATTAAAGTGTAACGCACGGTTTGTACAAAACTAGCATTCAAGAAATCGATCGAGCTAGACAAGCTGCATTTCGAGATCAGCTCGAACTGTGGGACAAAATGTATTCAAATCGTATCCAACGCATCAAAGTAAACCTAACATTACTGTTATCGAACATTCTATGTTTTTCACTTATGATAATAGTCACACAACAAACGAGTTGATCGTAAATATGGTTTATACGTTGACCGAGAGTTGAAAAGGGTATGTTTTGCACGTGTCACTAATATATTTTACAAAAAGTAAGTTCCAATTTGACTAATACGTGCCTTAAACAAAGCGGTACCAACACTTTGGCAACATAGTCGACTACCGATTGTACGACTCACGTTTCATTAGAATTCTATTCAAACACTATCCTAAAAAGCTTTCATGATCTTTTCGTCCTTTCAAGACCTTTTTCCATTTGAACTCGTCAAATCTCAAAAGGTGGTCACACTGGTGTTGATATGCTTCGAGCATAGTTCAATGGACTTTAAATATTCTGAACGTGTCGGATTTTAAAGCACAGCATAGTTGTTTATTTTAATGTTGACAAGAAGCTGCAAAATCATAAGTTTTTTTCTATTGCCCTTACTTGAACTTCGGTGGCAAAGAAGCAGTCTTATGAAATAAACGTAAAGGCTCAATAAAAGACCTTAGAATGGTTCAGGTCAATATCCCAAACGAGTAATAGTCCGATCGATATAGAAATTTCATTCAAAAAATAATTTGAGTTTCTTTATATAACAGTAATATAAGATCTTTGCAATGCATCGATTTCAGTCGTATCATATACAGCATATCACTGATATCTTGAGAAAATCCCAGCATATCAATTCAGCAATTCATTTCAACTGTGACAATTCTTCATTTCAGGTCCCATTACAAAATGCCTCTGTCTTTACATTTCTTTATCGTTTTTATATTGCAACTTTTATCACTGCTTCTTGAGACAAAATGATCCCAGTAAAATCTTGCATAGTCTTCAATTCTTAGTATATAATCGAAGCCTTTTCTAAGATAATATATCATGCAAAATTTCGATATGAATAATTCATATATGGAGCTTATTTTTTCATACACTTATGAGTTCAATTTAACATATTTTTTTAGGAACTGATTCAAGAAAACTTGACAAAAATACCTGATGTACCTTCAGTACCTATTCCGCGGATTATGCCTGATATCGTTCCAACGCAAATACCCAAGTACAAGCAAAAAATGATTAAAAGAAAAATATAATTTGTTTTTTCTACTTAGTGAAACTCCTTCAGTCACTACAAAACCGAAACGTATTTCTTCTGCGCCGAATGGTCGTAAGATTATTCATGAGACACACTCCCGTCTAGATGATCTTACTCAACGTTTAAAGAAACTTGAAGAAGAGTTTTCGTCGTTTAAAATCACAGATTTTCAAGATTGTCGAATTGATGTTAATATGCTGAAAACAACTGTAGAAAAGCTTATCAGCGGCAGAGATGCATTGCAGAATGCGGTGAATAACCTAAAACATGATGTGGAAGAGATTCAAACAGATCTTGATGAAGCAGTGAAAGATAAAGATGCACTGAAAACTATCCAACACGAACAAGGCGAAAAGATTTCTCAGTTAACTGCGCTTGTGACAACACTTGAAAAAGCAACCAATACATTCATGACAGTGTGGGAAGAAATTGAAAAAATCAGACGGGAACAAATGCACGACAAAAAAGCTCTCGAAGCGGAAGACAAAAAACAACAGATCGAAATTGATCAATTGTTCGATAACCTTAAACGATTCGATTTTACACACAACCTGACGGATTTTAACAATCAACTAAAGGATCTGTTAGGAAAACACAACTGTCTTTCTGAATCGCACGATCGATTACGCGATGAATTTGATGTTAAAAAGCAACTTTTCGAAAAACTTGATCAACAGTACAGCGTCCTTGTCGAACTCATGAAATCTATCGAAAATGGAAAAGCAGATCTTGTAGAACACAGAAACTTGCGTTTAGAATTTGACAATCTAAAATATAATTTAGGTAGAGTCGAAGAAAACTTAAGCAGTATGTCTGGTCAAATTGATGTGTTGAAAAGAGGAAAAGTGGATTATTCGGAGTATGAGCACACAAAAGAAACAGTTGGTGAAAACAAAAAGTCAATTAGTGAATTACAAAGAAAACTGAGCGAAATCATGAATCAATCGATGCCTATCGAACCTGTACGAAAACCAACTCCAATGTTGTCACAAACAACAACGTCCGACGCAAAAAATTACGATGAGGACTTGAAAATGATTCAAGACAAACAAAAAGAATTCGATGGTATTCTTAAAACACTCGTTACAAGAATGGAAACTCTCGGAGCTACAGTTACTTCATTAGACAGTACAGTTGTTCAACTCAACAATAAAATTGATCAACAACAACAATATCTCGAACAAATGATTGATGGCCGTATACATGCATTTGAACAGAATATTGAAATGTTGCAAGATGAACTTAATAATTGGATGAATCTGTTCAAGAAGACCATTGATGATGAACTCAAAAAAGTGAAGAATGATGCAACGATATTAAAGGACAGAGTTGACAAGCTGGAAGAAGCTTTGAGAAAAATTCAGCCAAAAAAGACAAAGAAAGAAGATATCTTGCATTCTGAAGAGAAATTCGTCCCCCTAGATTTGTTCGACATTGACTGGAAAAAATATCAAACAAAGAAATAAGAGAATACACGTGTCTCATTAAGAATATTCCTTAACTTCAAGCTTCTTAATTATACTCAATCAGCTAAATTATAGCAGAATCGATCGCTAAGAAACAGGGTGCGGGTGTAGGTATGTGTGTGGAGTGTGAGTATATAAGATGTGAATGCGAGTATGGGCGTTGATGAGTCTTCATTTTATCTGCTTTTACACCTACAATCATACTACAACTCCACTCGACTGTTTGAATTCAGCTATGATACTGAATGACAGTGAAGATCTTCTATTCAAACTGACCTACACCTTAAAACATCTAGATCTCCTGAAGACAAAAGTCTACACATCTATGTATAACGTGTCAAGCAATGCTTTGCATTAATTTTGTTCTTTCTACAGGCTATTACAGAAGCATAGTCCAATGGGAAATTTCTGTTTTTGATTGATAACTTGTGATGTCATATGCATGTACCGAGTCCAAATCTAGACCGAGCAGCTCGGGTTACCGAGCCTCAACGAGCTTAATCAGTTCCGAGCCTGACAGAGGCCGAGCTACCTGGGCTCGGTACATGCCTAGAAGTGTCGTCTATAAACTAGAGGAATGTTCTAATATCTGCTATTCGAGTATCGAGATTCACGACAAGCTATTAGGGTATTCGTTTAATGAATTCGCAGTAATCAAATACAGCTCAATTAAAAAAACTTAAGTCAGCAAAGTACAACGAGATGAATATCCAACTTGATACCCATACACCTATAGAGCTGAGAATTTTGAGTGAGTTTAGTTTAACGAAATTGATATTCAACTCGGTATCAAGTTGGGTATGTACTTTGCGGAACATTGTGGCCAGTAGCTCGTTGTTACCCAGAGAAATGGTATTATGGCATCCCTGATAAACTTCATAATTGTAGAATCTATTATATAGGCAGATAATCTTTAAAACTATGTTGATCGTACTTTATTTTTTAAAAACTTCATCTTTATTTGCTCATAAGTAAAGGAATACTTTCAGATATCTAAATGTGTCAAAACTACCAATTTTCAGATCAGTATCTTATGGTTTCTCAAAAAAAATAATTACAGTCAGGTCGGCATATATTTTAAAAAAGCTTTTTAAACTACTTTTACATTCCATGTGCACACAAATTGCACTGACTGTTACTTGTTCTGTTACTTTTCAGCTTTTATACGAAGTCGGTCGTTCTGTATCCAAGCAACAATTAATTGACAATCAAGGTAATAAAAAACGCTACTTTCTTTTTCTCTCGCTGAGAATATGATTCGTTCTTATGTGTAAAATTGTCAATACACAACTCGCTCGTAACATTTTTCATGATTTCTTTCTATTTCTGTTTCTTAAGATCAACTAATTTCATCTTGGCAGTCTTTTCTTTCCATTACCACACAATAATGAAATTGGAGAGCATATAAAAACTGAAGGACTGTTTCTTTTTTTTCCTTTCTTTGCACTCGTAACTTAAGGCAGAGTGCATAGACAAACACGGTGTACAGTATCAATTCTTAAATATCATTTATAAGCATTCCAAGGTAATCTTACAATGTTGTATAGTAATCACTCATGTTATGAATTAGTATCATTTATTGTCTTGTTAGAGGCATGACAACAGGACAAGAGTCAAATCGATGTTCTGTATGCGATAAAATTGCGGCCAAGTGTAACTGTGCGGGATGTAAGTCATACTTTTGTGTCAAACATTTTAATGAACATCGTCAGCAAATATCCATCAAGTTTGATGTTGATGTAACGAAAGTTCAAGAAGAATTACTCAAACAAATCAATAAAATCGAGCAACCGATGACTCCTTCACCTGAACTTCTGTCCCAAATTGATCAATGGGAGAAAGACACCATCGAGAAAATACATAAGACAACTGAAAAGATTCGTCATCAACTTACCGAACTACTTAATCGAGATAGAAATCAATTAATAAATCAATTCGAAATGCTAACAAAAGAAATAACAACTCTCAAAGAAGAAGATGATTTCGCTGAAGATGATATTGAACGACTTCGAAAGACTATCAATCAAATACAATTATCATTAGAACAACTTCATTTACCGGAAAAGGGCAAATTTATTATAGTAGAAAATAATGAATTCAAGTGGGATCATCTAATTAGTGTTGAAGAAAAACAAAAATTATGTGAGTTAATGTGAACGTATTTCAGATAGAAGATAAATAATAACCAGATAAAGTGCAATACCTTTGTTTTTATTTTTTGAGTCTTTTAAAGATAGGTTAATAATCTTGGTTTTAAATTTATTCAATATTAAATATGTTGCTCTATAAAATTGTCGACTTTGTTTTTCAAGGCAACGTTTTTGTTAACGAAAAAATTCAAATAATGCATAGTTGCTCTACCTCCTGGCAGTAGTTTCCTGTTGTTTTAAAAAGCATTTGTTGATTTGTATTAACCCATGTTCATCAAGTCGAATGCTAAAAATAAAGTAATTCGCACCAAAAAGCTAGAGAATTGTATAGTTCATGCTTGTACAACTGTTGCTATGTTGTCAGTTCTATTTTTTACAAAAAACAGAGGATAAAAATCAAGTTCTGACGACTTTTTGTTGGATGTATTATAGAAAGTCTTGATTTTCAAAACCAAACTCGATAAATAATTCATTTAAACTGTTGTTTTATTGGAGACTATACGAAAGACTACGAGAAAAGGAAATCTTATTTCAAATTTGACAGAAATTCTGAAATGCTATCATATAGGATATGCGTATTTTGCATACATCCTTTTTTTTTGACAAGATATTTTCCACAAGTTTAATGAATTTCAAAAGTTGAAATTTCGGTTAAAATTATTTTCTATTGAACTGAAATACGTGTAACAATTGAAGCAATGATTTAGACGATTCAATCTTAAATGGTCACTTCGAAAGTGTTGCTTCTGACAAAGAATAGTATTAAGAACTATTGCCCACTTAAAATTCGTCATAAAAACTCTTGATATAACAACGAAATTATACATGGTTTCAAAATAAGATTTGATCAACAGTTTCGCTTAAATTTTTTTGTTTGGTTTTAGTACCACTCTATTCAATGGATATAAATGCAAATGCCAGATGGATACCAAATGGTCATACTATAGCTGGTGGAAATGGAACCGGCAATGCAATTAATCAACTCGGACGACCATCCGGGTTGTGTATTGATCATGATCAATCTGTTTATGTTGCTGACTTTGATAATCATCGTATTGTTAAATGGAAAAAGGGAGCAACGAAAGGTGAAGTGGTTGCCGGTGGAAATGCTGAAGGATTTCGAACTGATCAGTTGTATTCACCAACGGATCTGATCATTGATGATGAAAGAGATAGTATCATTATTTGTGATTATAATAATTTACGAGTAGTTCGATGGCCACGTCAAAATGGTAAACAAGGAGAAGTAATTATTTCGGGCATTCGCTGTGTTGGATTGACTATAGATGACAATGGATCTCTCTACATCGCTGATAATAAAAAGCATGAAGTAGTACGATATCGAGCAGGTGAACGTTCTGGGACGATAGTGGCAGGTGGTAATGGATGTGGAAATCGACTTGATCAGTTGCAATGTCCACGATGGGTATTCGTCGATCAAGATCATTCAGTATATGTATCGGACAATGAAAATCATCGTATAATGAAATGGATAGAAGGTGCAAAAGAAGGCATTATCGTTGCTGGTGGTCACGGTCATGGAAATAGTCTTACACAATTATCTCATCCCTGTGGGATCGTTGTTGATCAATCAGGCACTGTCTATGTGGCAGATAGTTGGAATAATCGAATAATGCGTTGGTTAAAAGAAGCTACAGAAGGAAGTGTTGTTATTGGTGGAAGTGGTCGAGGAGAACAATCGAATCAACTCAATCAACCAACAGGTTTATCATTTGATCGACAAGGCAATCTCTATGTCGTCGACCAATGCAATCATCGTGTGCAAAAATTCGCTATAGATCCAAGTTCGTGTTCTTGAATGTTGAGTTTTGATCAATGAATTATTGAACTTATTTTTTATCTTGTTTGTCTTCTATTTATTTTATTGATTGAATAAACCATTTTTTTTTCAAATCTCATTCTAAGAAGAATAGGCTATAGGTGAAGAAAAGACACTCACTCACTTATACGCACACATGAAAATACTACAATATAATACTTGAAACTAGAATATGATTTTTGGAACAAAGTCCTGAACGAATCATACTCGAAGATAGTGAACGAGACTAGAAGAAGTCTAAAAGGATTTGTTTCTATTAAACTGTCCGTCTCAAGTTACAACAGTCTCCCTATGTTTTCTGCCTCGTGCATGACTTATATTAAAAAACTCCTACTATGAAATTCCGACTTGAAATTTTGCGTATAGGGATGAGATTTGGATGAGGTCGAGTCCTCTATTTCATCCATAGACCAAACTCATTCGCACTCAAGAATAGGAAACAATTTTGATTAAATAATAATCCAAAAAAATCACAATACTATTGACTACGCTGACTAATTCCGACTGCTATCCATTATAGTCGAAACCAAATAGAATAATCCATGAAATTTTTTTAAAACTTTTTGTTAATTTTAACTCAAAGATACCAATTTATTAAAAAACAACACGAATTCAGGAAAGGTTTGATTTTCAATGTTTTATGTTTTTATTTGAAGTTTTTTTGGCTTATAATTTAAGCATGTACATAGAAGTTGTTTATTAAAAAAAGACGATTCGCACATTTAGAAGAATATAAAATTTTTAAAGAAAGTGTTTACTATCAATTATTTAATTAAAGAAATATACTCTCAGCTATTTTTCACTTTTGTTTTATTTCAGCCATAAGCATCGAGAAATCTGTTGAAACAACTGCAAATATACCGTTTTTGAACTCATAGACGATGTTTAGTAAACAGTTGAGATAGCTTGAAGACGAGAATATCCCTAACTTTTTAAAATGTAAAATGAATCAGCAATGATAGCGTGGTAATCACTACAAGGAAATTTCCTCTGAGTCATACAACAACGCACGAAACATATTAACAGTTTTTTGAACAAGTTCTCATTATTTAGAACTATGTTTAATTCAACAAATCATCAAAACAATAAACATGAATTGTACGAGGTTATTCTTTTCAAATTAGGTAAGTTGCGATCAATTCAGTATGTTTAATTTAGCATCAGTATGCTTACTATTGATGAAACTTGCTCCCCTTAAAACTGGTCGAATTCAACTAATAAAAACAAACTCATGACGAGTATACAATCAGTCAGACAACAGTAGAAATCAAGTAATAATAGAACTCAATTAGAACGCGGGAATATGTCAATTTGAAAGGAAATAACGTATTTAAATAAATATCAAAAAGAAGAAAAATTTCAACATAAAATTGGTAAACAACAGCAGTTTTTCTCGTATAAAAAAGTATAACTATAAAGGACACATTAATTTTTTTTCGTAGAATCAGGGTTTCCGCTTGTTTTTAGGAGTGGGGGGGAGGCTAAAAATTTGGCAGAAAGTCTATAATTTTTTCGCAGAAAGTCGACTTTCTACAAGAAATTTGGCAGACATAGAATCGACTTTCTGCAAGAAATTCGGCAGAAATAACATTGACTTTCTGCAAGAAATTTCACAGAAGGCATCTTTGGGTTTACCTTTATTCCAGCAAATGCAGGAGCTTTCTGCTGAACTGAACTTTAAAAATTTCGCAAAAAGTATTATCAAAAATGATGCCAGAAAGTCTGAAATTTTGTGATGGAAGCCCTCTCTGCCCCCCCCCCCCCTCCCCAAAAATCGAGAACCCTGCGTAGAATTATCAATAATTTTTACTCTACAAAGAATAAACAAGTTTGAACCGACAGTGTACTTATTAGCATAATAAATTATATTAAAACAATAGCAAATTATAACAGAAATACCGTAAAGATGATAAATTGGTTCACAGTCTTCTTACACACATGAACCACAATACATGATAACCTACAACTTGGTAGAAATAAAATAAAATATTGTTCATAATACTCATTGGTTTCTTGGAAGCACAAATGAGTTTTAAAAGTAGGAGCAATGGCAAGTTTCATTTGATCACATTCATTGATGAAAATTCCACCAAAACAAAATGGAATGACATAGTAATAAACGAGAACTAAATCAAAGTATTATTATCATCCTAAATATTTCACTTTGATTTGACTATGTGCGTATTGTGATTTTATTATATTGGTTTTCTTTTCTTCTGTTGAAGTTAAATAATTATTTCCAACACAAGTAGATATTATCCGGCATATGTGCTAAAATATCAATTCTAATTATGATGCAATAATTTGAGTCAAAGATCAAGGAAATGATAGTAGGAACAACAATAATGATGATAGATATATCAGCACACGTTTTATTGACGATGACAGTAGACAGCAGTTTGAAAATTCTTATCTTGTTGACCTAGAAAACCTCATTTTCATATGTCAAACAAAACGACACAAGAATGTTGATCGGAGGAGGATTTCTTGTAAAAAAAAGTCTTCAATGATAGTTTTTACAAAGTCATTATATACAGAAAAAAGAAAACATTAAATCCCTGGTGAAAGTCGTATACCGTAAATGATAAAGCAATACGATAATTCTTCTACATGATTTACAAAAAAGCAGTAACACACTATGTAGAATATCAATATGAAGTCATAATATGATATTGCATATTGAGTATTTTTCTAAGTTATTATAATAATATGTTGTCGCTTGTGTTTTAGACAGCTTAGATTTATTAGGTAAACGCATTCGTAGCAAACTAGTTCTAATCTATGATGCCATTCACTTTTGAATCTGTTATGTAACTTGACAGGTTTCACGGATATTGTGAATGACAAGATTCATATCATTTATCTCTCTCGTTCAACTATTACAGCCTTCAATTGATCAAGAAAAGCAAATATAATGAAGACGCATGAACAATGGGCGAAATTCATTTAAAAGATCCTGTAACAATCATTTTCAAACAAACATTTAAAAAGATGTAGAAGACAACATGATAAAAATTCTTAATTATGTATGATAATTCAATAAAAATGCAGTTCGCAGAAAGAAAAAGCATTCAAAAGCAAATAATATATCCAAAAAAACAGAATATTAGATATAAAACTCTTTGAATTTACGAAATACATAAATTCTGCGACTATTTCTATTTCACAAACATAAAATTAGATATATAAGAGTGCTGTTTCAGACGCTACTACTTTTTTGAGAAATATGACTTTCTGTCGTTTTTAGTAATAGATTCGATGTTTTGGTTAAAGTGTATTAAACTATGAATTCTTGATTCATTCTAGATTGACATAAAGATTAAAAGGTACGATTATACGAAAAGATTATTGCATTTACTTGACATAAAAGATAAATGATTGCACTCCATCACTATATTAACTTTCACTTTTACTCAATAAGTATTTTCATTATAACAAAAAAAAATTAAATTACTAAGTACATTCACTAGTTTAAGTACAGAGATAAACAGAATAGGTAAACATTAAATAAATATTTAGTATTAACACTAAAATCTTTTTTATGATTCGGAGTTAATAGAGATGTGTTGTAGCTTTTGAATGACATACTTTGATTAGTAAAAAAATATTATGCCTTTTATTTCATTGAGAAAACATTTGAACAAAACAGATTCGATCCGGATACACTCGGATCGAACGTACTTAAGGATTTTTTTCTTGTTCTATACATCGAGAAAATAACTTTCTGTAAGAAAAGTAGATCATTCAAAAGTTAAAGCACTTCTCTATTGAACTTAAATTAGAAAAAAAGATCTTAGTTTTGATACAAAGTTTTGATTTACTGTATATTCACACCTGGCAAAATATCCCATATAGGAAACTATTGTAGTCTAAACAGTTCTATTCACAAAAATTTCTAATCATAAATTTATTTGAAATTATAAAAACTTATTTAATGAATCTTATTCATCGATTAAATTCACTGTCAAAGTTTTCAATACAACTTATCAATGAAAGGATTGGTTCGATTCCAAAAACAACCACGAACCAATTCTCCATCTTTGATTGATAATACGATATAGGCGTCACTCGTATCTTAAAATTGTAACCAAGTTAGAAAAAAAAAACTTCAAGAACTTAGTTGATACCAATCTTTAATGTCAATATCTTTTACAAAACGATTTATACTCTGAAATTATGATCTCTTATCAAACAAAATCGTAAAACTTTTTTTTATTCAGGGCTAATAGTTATATTTCATATGTAATATAATACTATTTGAACAATACAGCTAAGTAATGATTGTGTATGGAACAAAAATACAAGAAAGAAAGAAAAATAATACATGTTACAATCTGTTCTTATTACTAACTATATATTTATGAGAAATATATTACTTAATTTTTATGCAATATATTTTAATATTATATTGTTTTGGTTTCTATTGTTTTGAACAAAAGAATAGAAGTGTCTTAGAATATTATATGAGAAGAACTTATTATGATCATCAATCTTTTTACATATTGTTTTCTTTTTTCATCAAATATTTTAATTTCTGCTAAAAGCTTTTTCAAGTACATCTCTTTTTGATGTTGTATATCATAATGATGATATGTCCTTGTAATGCTAAGAATGCCTTTTTTTTTTCTCATCAATAACTAGCAAGCGTCCTTGCCTAAATGTAAAGCTTTAGTGTATATGTTATTCCTTTTACTTCTCTGTTACACACAAGTAGTAACGTGCTAATTCATTATAGAATCACCTATAGAAAAACGACAAAGCAACACAAGAAAAAATCATTGACATTTATGTGTACTTGTTTTTTTTTTGTTTGTGTCTAACTAAGAATAATTTAGTGCGATCGTTTAGAAAATAGGACGACATGATCATATATGAAGAAAATTCACTTGTTTGTTATAAGAGAAAGAGAAAGAGAGAGAGAGCGCGCATTAACTCGCTTTTTTTCTCTTTGTATCTATCAACTAAAGAAATAGAGAGAAAAGAAAAAAAATGTAGCCAATATATTTCTCTTTCAGCATGAAACGAAATATAAATACATTACATTAGATCGAGGTGTATTCTATAAAGTGCAAATAGAAACGTTCTAAATCATTTTTGTTTTATTCCATATCAAATATGACTGCGTAAGTTAATATACACATGAAAGAAACTCAAACTGTAAAGATTTTTATTCTGTATAGTTGCTCATCATTAACAACAATGTTTCAAACATCAAATACTATTTGTCAAAATGTTTATTTAACTGATGATTTTAAAATTGGTCTTGAATATGATAATCATCGTGGTTTACTGAATATTTTATTGAAAAATACCGATAATAATAATAAATTACCATCACACATTAATATTCTATCAAATCAAGATCAAGAATATGAATTAAGATTGAAAAATCATAATGAATATTTTCTTAGTTCAACTCGATTACAACAAGGTTCGTATATCTACAGTTATATATTTGATTGTTATCTTCTTGATTTTGTTTTTAATTATTATAATAGATCTTGAAAATGAGATAACAAATATATCCTACAGGGAAGAGGATGAGCCAAAGATTTGTATCGAATTATCAAACATCTACGTATATGATTTATATGATGAAAATGAAAATGATCTTTGTCAAACAATGATTACATCACCACCATTATTATTTTCTTCGTCATTATCATCATCATCATCTTGTTTCGATGAACCGACAATAGATAATGATGATGGATATTCAACACATTCACTTGATGATATTGAACAATCTCATCAACAACAACAATCAATATCAATGCTTCCATCTAAAGAAATCATACCGTTCAAATCTTATCAATTTTCTTATTACATTGAACCATATGTCTCGTCTATACGTCGACAAGTTGAACAACTTATCTGGTTAAGTCCATTTAAAAAGACTGTAAAACAAATGATGAATAATCATTTGTTTGATTGACTAATTTGATACATCTTCATTAAAAAATTAGATGTATCTATATATATATGAGTGTTTGCATGTGTCTGTGTGTGTGCGTGCGTACGTGTTTGCATGTGCATTTAACTTTGAAAATGTTATTCTTTGGAGTTTAAGTACCAGGAAAGAAAAAGTAAAAAGTCATAAACATGATGTGACTCATCATCATATTTTTATTGATTGGTGGCCAACACCACAAGGTGAAAGTGGCAAGAGAAGCTATAATCCCGTCTATGTCTCTCTAAATACATATATAAAATAGAGAAAGGGAAGAAATGTGCAACTACTACATATTTCTTTCTTTTCACCTTTGTTTTTTCTCTTTTTGAAGATTTTATCGATTGATTTGCATGCGTTTACGTTATATATCCCCGGTGAAGTATTGTGTATTTTATTGTTTTTAGTGATTTAAACATTTTCTTTTCGTTGAAAATGATGAATAAAATTGCATATTCATATATTGATGAACATTTAATTTCTCCATCATTAATCTGTCCTATATGTCTCGAGGTCCTTGAAGACCCTCATACACATACACCGTGTGATAGCGCATTTTGTCGTTCATGTTTATTACAATTATCTGAACCATTTTGTCCAATATGTCGATGGACATGGGATGACACAATACCTCTTCAATATAATATTCATTTACCAAAAGCTAATCGACTAATACGAAATATGCTTGATGATTTACTTGTACAATGTATTTATTGTCATACCGTTCGACGTCGAGGACAATTCGAGCATGAATGTCAATCAGCTGAAGAACGATTGGTTAGAAATGATATTCAAATCATACCAAGAAAAACATTAGGACATTTTCAAATGATTTTATATATTTTAGGAACAGTTATATTTCTTCTATGCATTTATTATTATCGAAAATATATTTTTGAAAAAGTTATTGATCATCGTAATGAAATAATCAAGGATATTGGCTTCAATATTGATTATTTTTTATTAGAAAAAATATATTACTTAATAAGAAAAATAGTTGAATATTCAATGACAATATTTATTATGAGTATTTGTTTTTGGTTTAGTATAATATTTTTTGGAGACCATTTTACATCAAGAAAAAATAGTCGAATATTAAAAACTCTTCTTGAAACGTCAATTATTATTAATCTTATTGCTTATTCAGTTTCTAATTAGAATGTCTATTGATTGACTTTTACTTATTTATTTATTTATTTTTTTCTTATTTAATAAAACATTGATGATACATAGAAATATATTAGAACAGATGTTTTTTCTTAATCAAAACGAATTGCATCAATGAAATCTTGTTGAGCTTGTTTAGCACTTTGAATAAGGTTTTTTACATCATGATTATTATCCAGAAGTATTTGTTGAATAGTATTATCTTTAAATGAAGTCTTTTTAGATTTTTCATCTTTTAAAATATTCATTAAATCATTTGTTTGAATAGGTAAAGTTGGTTTATTATCGAGAATAGATTTTAAATCAAATCCATCATCATGTGGAATTATTGATGCTGCACCATATCGAATTGGTAAATTATTTGTATTTGTTAATGATGAAGAATTTTCTAATGATTGTTTAACTTTATTAGATATTGGTTGATCGATTTTCATGGGTACTCGATCTTCTTTTTCGATAATAGTAACATGTTGACTTGTATTTGAATTCATCGGTGATGAAGATTTGTTTTTACACGGTATTGTTTCGAAAACATGTCCTTCTAAAAATAAAAACATTTTACATGATATTATTGTTTTCGTTATGTTTCAATTGAAATGACTTTTATGATAAGAGATAACATACTGTATTGTATTTATGTGAAATATTTTCAATTGAATTTTCTTTTAGTTTTTTTTTTGTATAAAAAAATAGAATAAAATATTATTTACCAATAAATTCAAATTGTTCCTGGCTTTTTGTCACCGATATTGGATTTATAATTTCAAAGTTATCGTCAGTGTTGCAATCAGCTTGTCGTGACATCATTTATCATAGAAAATATGAAATGAAATGTATGTTAATAATCTCGTAGTCATTGCATAAGAAAAAAAAAGTATTCAAAAAGGTTTTTTTCCTGTGTCACAAGGCGAAGAATTATTTTCTTTCTGTTCTGTCTCGCAAGCGTTCAGGAAAGAAAAAAAAAAGGATGATAGCAGCGAGTAGTTTCGATCTACCGACCTCTGAGTTATGAGCCCAGCACGCTTCCACTGCGCCACGCTGCTGTATTTCTTTACAAGATATTTTATTGAGTTAAGATGATCGAATAATCAAGCGACATTTTTAATATGGAACGAAATTGTTTTATTTTGATTTTTTTTCATTGTCAAAAACTGTCTATCCCTCATGAAAAATGAAAAAAAATAATATTTTTGAAAATAAAAGAAAAATATTTTCATGTAATAATAATCTCATGACTCAGAAAATTTGAGAGAACAATATTATATGAATAATAAATGATTCATCCAAACATAGTTGACATAGAGAGAAAACATTGAGACATACTGTATGTTATTCACATTAGTGTATGTTATAGTAGCAAAAATTTTTATCATAAATCAAATATATGTTATATTTCATAGATTAAATATAGAGATTCGACAAGCACTACCCATGTAAAAAAAATTAGGGGTAAAATCAGATTAAAATCGATTAAAAAATGATTAAAAATCGATTAAAATCATACACCTTTTAATCGATTTTTAATCAAAAAAATCAAAATTTCATACATAATTTTGATTAATTCTGATTAATTTCGATTATAATCGATTAAAATTTGTTGAGAAAAATCGATTTTATTTGATTTTTGTTCATGATGCATAAAAAAATCTTCAGCTGATTTTCATCGATTTGCATCAATTAAAATCGATTTTTCTCAACAAATTTTAATCGATTATAATCGAAATTAATCAGAGTTAATCAAAATTATATATGAAATTTTGACTTTTTTGATTATTTTTGATTAAAAATCGATTAAAAGGTGTATGATTTTAATCGATTTTTAATCATTTTTTAATCGATTTTAATCTGATTTTACCCCTAATTTTTTTTACATGGGTAGTACTTATTGTTCATCGATAGGAAACAAATGTATTTTCTACAAATGTTTGCATTTATGATTAATTATGTAAAGCATTAATTTCAATCAACAGTACATTTAACGAAGTAACTGTATAGAAGTAAAAGGCTTGTAAATTAGAGCATTCCAAGAAGACATTGGTTCATATTGAAACTAGACTGACAAGAGAAATTCCCCATCTGATTAATCACTTTTGAGTTCAAACTCTGTAATTCATGTAGACACCAATAAACTGTAAATACAATGAAAAGAGTTTGAGTCCTTAGCTTAAAACTGTCGAACCGTTGCATTTTCACGGTATATTCCTAATTAAAGAGGCTGAATAGAATCACGAACTAGTATCATATAGAGGATTTATAATGAAACTTTATTGAAAGTTGAGTATGCCAAATATCACTATCTACAGATAGAACAGTACGACAACTCGTCAGTCCAGTGCCAGTAGGAATTCCAGACCGATCGGTTTCATCTCTACTGAGGGAGACCACAATTTTGACTTAAAAAAAATCATCAAATTGCAACATCTCAACAGCAATAAGCTAATGACCCAAAATTTTTAAGAGTATGCATAAATCGAAATTCAAAGCGATTAAACAATTGGGCGTCTTTGGTCGTGAAACATTGAAGTGTAACTGAATCTTTCTGAAATACTCCAATTTGGTACGTTTCAAAATATTCATGTTGTATACAATATCTAATAAGTCTAGACAAAATTTCAGTTTGAAATTCGAAAATCATAATTTTTCACTAAAAATTCAGTATCTTGACGTAATGTTAACACAGGCTTGTATCTTTTGAGGATTGTTATAGTGTAAAGGATTCTTTGTTCTCTGTAACATATCACATGAAAAACTTGAAATCGTTTCAAATGTTTCTCTAGTTAGTAGGAATGATATATTCTTTTGAATTTGTGCACTTCTTCATTCAATTTCTCATATAAGATATTCAAAACGACGTTTTGAATCATATTGTAGTTCGACAGGTTTGTCTCGTTTTGACTTTTATTATTAGAATAATATTTTGTTCTTTGCTGAGAAAAAAAAATTATATTAAGAAAGAAAAGCACAATCAGGATGACATGTTTTAACACAATCATTTGGATATTTTTCATTAAATATTACACAGAATCCACATGCTTTTTGCATTAAACAATCATCTCGTTTATCAAAACATTTTTCTTCTCGTGAAAATATTATATTTAGTCTTGAAATTTCTATTGTCATTGTTGAACTTAAAGTTGTTGTCATATTTTCAGGTACATATTCCTGTTCGTCTAATGAACGTCTATCATTCGATTGTTTTATTGGAACACATTGATTACACGAACGTCGACATGCTTCTGGTACAGGAAGCCAAGTATCATCAACAAGTATTGTATAACGATTAAGACAATATTCACTATGATTTTGATAGATTGAACAAAAACTACTTTTATCATAACAAGAAATACCTATAAAACATGAATATATATGATTTCTTTTTATCAAATCTATAATGAACATACATCGATATTGATTTTCTGTCTGTACACATCGATCAGATGGTGAACATGGATTATTTGCACAAGCATCTGGATACTAAAAATAATATCATAATCAGCAAAAAAAAAACAAAAAGGAATTTCAGATGAAATCGTACTTGACAACGATCGCCAACTTGTCCTATCTGACATACACATACAATACTATTTTGAGTTGCTGTACATAAACCACCATTACATGATGTTGATGAACAAAGTGTTGCTAAAAATTGAAATATAAAATCTATTATTTTAGTCAAATCTCTTTCAAATTCATAACTACCTTCACAATAAATTCCTGTATATCCTTGAGGACAAAAACATTGTGTATATACACTTCCATTTGTATTGTATTGACCAAAACAAGTAGAGCCATTCAAACATGGATTATGGCTTATACATGGATTTTCTATAAAAAAAACAATCTTTTTTGTGTACCTTTGTCTTGTCTTATTTACCATATTGACATGATGGTCCAACATATTGTGATGTACACATACACAGGCCATTAACACAAGAGCCACTGTTGTAACATGTTGATGCACAACTAGTAGGTGTTGATTGCGCATAGATAGAAGTTTCACAATATTGACCAGTAAAATAACTTCGACAAGTACATGTAAATGAAACGCTTGTTGAATTAAAATTAGTTGAACAAAAACCATTATTTCGACATATTTGATTATAACATGGATTGTCTAATGAATATAGTTATTAATTGAAACTTTTTAAATCAAGAAAAACTATTTACCAAATCCACAAAACGTTCCAGTATATTGAGCTGAACAAACACATACTCCGTTCACACATGGACTTCTACAATTGATTTTATAGATTTAACATTTAAAGAAAAGTTATTAGCGTAATCCATGCAAGATTAAAATCTCAGATACGAATATACCGTAGTTGCTGTTGTTAAGCTATCCATTTTGAGACATATTTTCTTATCTATTCTCTTACTTAATTCTCGAGAAGCGTAGAAAAGAAGTAATTCATATATTATAACGAAACGTTACTAAGGATATCTGCCACGTCTGGAGGGTATCATGGGCATCTAGTCAGACATTTGCCTCAAAATGAAAATTACGTTTTTTAAGGTTTGAATATAGGAAAATATATTTCAAAATATAGTCTATTCAACGATGTACATAACTATGTTATAACCTTCAAAGAAACTAGAAAACTAGTTACCGAAAAATTAGCCTGAGAATCTTCGTGTCATCAAAAAGACTTGTTTCTCACAAAATTAAACTACTCTGGCAGACAACTCAGGTAAATTTTCTCAATCTCTATATCGAGCTCTATACAAGGATAAAAAATATTGGCGTCTCCAATGTTGTCCGAACGGCCAGTTCTATGGTGCAAAGATTTCTGGATTGCACAGTAAATTTCGAAAAACCCATGTTTTTCGTGTATTTAGCAGTTTTGCTGATCTTCAAAAAGTAGTTAATGGATAAAAACTAGTATATTCCGAATGAGCACATTGAGCTACGTCGAATGATGTATAAGAAAAAACAGTTTGGAAGTAAAAAAAACTTTTCTCGAAAAAATGAGGACAAGGGTTCTCCTCATGTATTTTTCTTAAAATGCTTTTCTGAGTAAAGAAATTCGTTTTCAAGAAAGACAATCACATATCTGCCTGCCCTACAAAAAATGTACATAGTGGGAGGGAAGGAAATAGTGAAAACTTCTACCTTTATATTCAAATATTCTTTTTAGATCATGTTTCAAAGAAGAAAACAAGAATATACCTATTCATACATAATCCGCCACATGGATTAAGTAATGATGTTTCACATTTTATTCCCGTAAATGGTCCAACACAAAGACAAATAAACCAAGCACTTGTTGTATTCCAGTAACCTTGACAGATACCTTGATTTAAACATGGAGATGATAAACATGGATTAGCTAAAAATGTTATATAAAAAAAAACAAAAGGATTAAATGATTTCAAAACACAATTTTTGTTTTTCTGGATTACCTCTTTCACATTGATCACCAACATAATTAGATTGACAAATGCATGAATACGATGTATTTGATGTTGATAATGCACAATAGCCATGTGTTTGACATGGATTACTTGCACATAGCTCATTTTGTCTTGTCATATTACAATATGAACCTATAAAACCTTCACGACACAAACATACAGCTATTGGTGGATCTGTATTTGATGAAACACATGTACCACCATTAAAACAATAAGATGATGATGATACAGTACAAGGGTTTTCTAAATAAAAATAAAAAACTTTCACCAGTTACTTACAAGAAATGATCGAATGGATTTTTCTTACAAATGAAAAGCTTTTATAAAACTGACTTTCTAATTTATGAGACACATGTTAACAGATATGATGTAAACATCGTCATGTAGGATAATCTCAAACGATTATGAATGTGTAATGAAAATAGTATCACCTAACATACGATTATCTTTATGGATTACAGATCAAGTCGCAATAAAATTGTAACATAGACCTGCTCTTGTAGTTAGTTTATGTGTGAAAAAACTTTTCATACTTACCATATTGACAAAATGTACCAACTTGATTTCCTGGACATGTACATACAGGTCCTGTTGATTGTTCATTGCAAATTTTATATGAAGGACAAAGCACATTTGCACATGAACCAATAGCTAACAAAAAAACTCTTATTAAAAATAACATTATCATAATTATCATTCTTACCTGTATCACAATTTTGTCCATAAAAACCTGGTGGACAAACACAAAGATACACTGACCAATTAGTACCTGCATCAGTAAGTAATGTTTTACAACCAGCCCCATTTTTACATGGAAAATTGGCACAAGAATCACCTAAAACATTTTATATCAATAGATAGATATATTTCTAAGAAAAACAAACATACGTAAATTACATGTTGGACCAGTAAAACCAACTGCACATAAACATTCAGCCATTGTTGCAGCTATTTGTCTACATGTTCCGCCATTTAAACATGTATTTGTCGAACAAACCGAATCTAAGTATTTTTCTTATGTTCATTCAAACAAAAAAAGAAATCTAAAATTTTATCATACTCCATTCACATCGTGTGCCAGCAAAACCCGTCGGACAAATGCATCGAATATTTGTATTATTATAATCACATGTACCACCATTTAAACATACATTTGAATTACATGATAAACCCAAATCTATTTCCATAAAACATAAATTATTATAATCAGAAACAAAAACAAAAAATTATCAAACAACATACATATTGAACAATCATAATGTCCATATCCCGGTTGACATAGACACATAAAATTATTTTGTGAACCAAGTGATATACAACTACCTTGATTATAACATGGTTTTTTTTGGCAATTATTTGTATATTGACATCGATCACCAGTTAAATAATCAGGACAAATACATTTATAATTTATGGAATTTGTATTTGATATTTGTTGACATGTTGATAAATAATGACAAGGTGAATCTGAACATGACATTAATGTATCTAAAAGAAACACGCATTTTTATTTTTGATAATAGAAAGATCTACTTGATTTGCATGATTGACCAAGTAAACCATTTGGACAAATACAATAATAAGATGAATTCGATGTAGGAAAACAAGTACCATTATATCCACAAGGACTTTGTGAACAAGAATTTATATATGTTTGACAATATCGACCAGTAGAACCTGGACGACATACACAACCTAATGTATTACTACCAGATGTTGCATCTATATAACAAACACCATTATTTAAACAAGCTGTGTTTGTACATATTGATTGAATTGTTTCACATCTTTGAAATATTAATTATTAAAAGGAAATTTATCCAGATTTATATCTTACCGAGCACCAATTGTATTAGATCGGCATTGACAATAATAAATATTAGTTATTGGATTTTTTAAACATGTGCCGCCATTGAGACAAGGAAATATTAAACATGACGTATCCTGTTGTTCACAAAAAACACCAGTTGTACCACTTAAACATATACAACTAATAGAACATGTTGTTGAAGAACAATTAGTTGTTGATGAAACACATTGACCAGCATTTTGGCATGGCGAAGAAATGCAACCGCTTACTAAACATTTGAAATAGATTTTTAATTATTATTTAATGAATGAATTCTCTACAAGTTATCTTTGTCAAAGAAATAGGAACTTACTCTTAAGTCCGTTCCGAAAGCAATAGAGTTTTTCTACTTATTTTCATATACACTTACAGTTCTCCGACTAAATCCAACCCTTTACTTTCGCATAGAATTGGATGAGTAGTGTCATCTTAATAACTAAGATGAACTCTAGTAAAGCATTCCAGAACTAGTCTTCGGAAGCTTGTTTCACAATGACTTAGAAAACAACAATTGAAGAATCTATTTTGTTGCCTGCAAATATTTTGAAGATAACTGCTAATGAAACATATTCTAAACTTTTCGATTGAACACAAGAATAGAAAATTGAATTCTTCGACTTTTATTAAATCTTTTGACAATTTTAAGAATCAGCTATTAGTTTACACTAACATGGAGTTAACATTGATAACAAGTTGTCTTTCTTGTTGCACTTACCATATTCACATCTTGTACCAACATAACCATTTTGACAATTACATTGATATGTTCCATCTTTTATATTTGAACTTCGAACACATATACCATTATTCAAACAGGGATTTGGTGTGCAAACATTTATCATTAATTCACAATTAGTACCACCATATGGTAATAAGCATCGACATGAATAAGAATTTGACAATGCTGAACAATTACCATTATTTTTACATGGTGTACTTAAACATGGATTTCCACCAATTTCACAATTTTGACCTATTTTCATAATTTATTATTATTTTTTTTTCTTTTTAATATTAGAGAAAAAAAAACTTTAAATTAAATAACCTGTTGTTCCATTTGGACAAAGACATGAATAACTACAAAGTAAACCTAAACAGTTTAATGATACGATACAAGCACCTTGATTACATGGATTTGATAAACAACTATTGACTAGAAATATAAAAATCATATTCAATATATGATTTTGATTATTTCTGTTTTCTTTTCTTACTAAATTCACATCGACTACCAAAAAAACCAAAATTACATTGACATTGAAAACTTCCATTTGTCAATATTACACAATTTCCATAAATACAAGAATTCGATTGACATAAACCACCTACAATTGTCTCACATCGTATACCAGTATAACTATTTTTACAGGTACAATATGGTAAACTACATGATGTATCTGTACAAATAACTGAACAAGTATTATTGTTTTGACAATAATCAATACAAGGATTATCTAAAATAGGTTTTTTTTTCTATATTTCAATTAAAGATTACTAAACATACTTAATTGACAAAATTTTCCTCGATAAAGATTTGTGCATAAACAAGTTCCGTTCGTTAAACAAATTCCTCCATTAACACATTGGCATGAATTCGTATTCGTGCTATTATTTGAAAATAATGGTATTTGACAAAGTACACCTGTATAATTATTTTTACATTGACATATGTATTGCGTTGTTGATGTTTGAAGACATATTCCATTGACTGAACATAGATTTGCTTGATTTTGACACGAACCATTTAAAATGCCAGATAACGGTAAAGTTAACGAAGTTGTTGCTAAAGTAGATGTTGTTGGTTTTGGTGTAATTGTTGAACCTGATATACATGACGATGGTGGAAAACAAATACATTGTGCTAAGTCTGATATAATCTGTTGTAAACATGGACATGACGGTATTGTACAACTTGTTGTGAAACAATTATCTATATTGAAAATTATTATTATTTATAATATAAAACGTATTAGTTTACTTGAAACACAATTCATAAGACTTAGACTAGTTCGTAGTGGAATACGAAAAAAATGATATTGAGGAATGAAAGTATTTGTACCGTTTGATAATACATATGGACCCATTGAAAACATAAGATAGAGATTTGGAGTAAAAGTAATATCATGTACATCTCCTGTTGTAAGAAATCTTTCAAATGCAACATAAATATTTTTATTATCAGTAATATTTGTTCGAATAACACAAAAATCTTGTTGAGTATCAATTAAGGGTACAACATGTCCTTGAGAATATCTATAAGCAAAATTAATAGATTCAATAATAATTTAATCGAAAGACAACTTAATTACCGATCTTGTACTATTTGAGTTCCAGGAAAGAACATTGCCACATCCATGTTATTCTAATAAACAAAAGAAGAAGAAAATTTCTTTTTATTAAATATCAAGTTTTCTAAAAATGCTAAAATCTATCGTGTTACTTAAACTATATTACACAATATGATAGTTCTATATCTATTAAATATAACTAAACATGCAATTGTACAAAAACGGTCTTCCAAAAAACTTTTTTTTAAGAAGAACACTAACCATAGTTGGTGCTGTATCAGACCATCCAATTGCAATATAAGTCGATGCAAGATTAACACTAGCAGTTGCTTGTCCTAAAATTTTATATAAAGAATTTAATAATAATAAGATTAATACGTCTAATACATTTACCTTGAATAATAAATTGAACTGTATTTGAAGCCATATTGTATCGCCATGAAACAGTAAATGAACCAATAGTTGTGTCTTGTATAGGCCATATACCACCAGAACATTGACCTTGTATTGCTGAATGACAAAAATAAAAGATAATCAAAATGTCATTTCATTCATTCATTTTTACGAGTAGACATACATTCCAAAAATTTACTGCCGAAGAAAAGTAATATGTAAAGAAGATATTTCATCTGAAAAAAAAAATATCTATACTTTAATTTTTTTTTTTATAACAATAGATTTCATTCTTTTGTTTTATTCATTTATAAGACATTACTGAACCTATGATTGTCTCCGTCTTTAAAAAAAAATATGTTAGCATTCAAAGTTGGATTCAAATTCGTGTTGATAGACTGTATTGAAACAGTGACATTTCAGATATTACAATCATCAATGAAGAAACGAAATTCGGACCCCACGACTTATGAATAATTTTCCATAAAACTTGTTCTTCTAGAGAAACTTATTCATAGCTTCATGAGTTCTACTTTAATTTCTTCATTGATGATTGTATTACTTAAGATGACATTGTTTCAACATAAATTACTAATACCTATCTAGAAACTAATGAAAGTTTTATTGAAATATATACATATGAGTTTATCGAACTTGCAAACATACTACTTGCTTTGATTGATAAATCAATCTTGATGTTTTTATTATTGATATGCATTTTTTTATTTTACATTCCCGTTTTTTTTTTTTATATTGAAGAACAAATATTATAATCACATCAATAATCTCATCAAATTCATATTTGGAAAAATAGTAGGCAGTATTTCGTCATATATACATATATGCATTTTGAAATAAGTCAAGGATTATTTTTATTTTCTTGGTTATCAACTATTATAGATGGCAACTGATTTAACTAGATTTATTAGAATTTTATTGTATGTATTCAATCGAGTTTTTTAAAAACAGAAAAAAATATGACTAAGATTAATAATCCTTCAAAAAAAAATCAATCGTCAAATCTTAAAATAACGAAAATAAACATAAGATTGATTAAATTTAAAGAATTCCATTGAGAAGTATTTCTTGATCATATTAAATCGAATATGACATTGACAATCGATTTGAATAAGCGAATGTTGAACGATGAAGCCCTAATAAAAACATAGTTTTTTTTTTCAAGGATACAACCATCGTATTGATTACAAATCAAAATGAAATAATTGATTTTCATAGACGAAATATCGAAGCAAAACTTAATACATTCAGACGGTCATTAAAAGGCTTCATGAAACTACTCAACTGTTGATTACATATAACTCACTTATATGATATAAAGATCAATAAAAAGTTAATAATGTATTTTTCGAATCAAGAACTGAAGAAATGGTCTTGATTAAACTTTTTAATCGTTAACATGATATAATTTTTTATGAGAAACATAGATAAAGTATAATATAGTACAATAGCATATTATGTAAGTTTATGGATTGAAAACAAGTAATCACTTTTTAGATACAATGATAAAATAAACTAACGTTCGAATTATCATATAGAATACAATCGTTTATTTAAGTTCATGTAAATCTGTTAGCGTTTTTTTTTTCTTATTTATACAATTGACAAGTTAACCTATTTTATTGTATTACTGACTCTAACCCACAGAAATATCTTGCTAGTTTATCTTCGTCACAACTCACTTCATAATATAATGATCTCACGAGACGAGCCAACAATAAGATAAACACTAAGCATATATGCAATATATTTAATTATTTAAATAGACATAATATTTAAAACACTTCAGTGTCTATTGTTCATATACACCATATAATTTTCAATTATGTTTACTTAAGAAAACTTGCTCAACAATAACAACAACAATATTCGACCTCGTTCTTCTGTTCGTAAATACAAGTGTACTTTAAATCTTTCTTTCAATGATCTCTAAGTGTTTTTTTATGTAATACTAAAAAAAACTTGTCAACCATTTCATGGTAAATAGTATAGTGCAAAAAAAAATTAGAAAAGAATGATTGCAGATACATATTCTTCTTCATTTCATTTTTTTTTCTTTTGTCATCAATTATCACAAGTAGTTAATTGTTTTTCAATTAAACATCGATCAAGTAACCATGATCGATCAGGTTCCGATTCTGGTGTTATAACACACATAAATAATTGTTGAGAATATCGATGTCTCATAAATAAACATACAGGTGTAAATGGTAAAATTTTTTCATTATCAGAATTTGTTGATATATAATCACATAATTTATTATACAATTCAGGATAATGTTGTTCTATTTCAATTCCACGTTCACGTAATTCAACTTGTAATTTAGCAAAAAATACTTGACGCATATGATAATTATTATTATTATTACCATAATTTAATGATGTTAAATATAAAGTAGGATATGTACTCGATGAATTCGAATTAGATTGAGACTTTGGTAAAACATCAAGTAATTTATGGATAGTTGTTCGACTAACACATGTATAACGTGTTTGATCTATTAATTATATTATATTTTTATAATTAATGAATTATTGTTTCTTTTCTTTTAATGCTTACCCTGATCTGCTTCTACTCCAATAGTAACATGACAAACAAATTCTTTACTTGGATCATAATTCATACAAAGTTCTTTTAAACGTTCATATTCAGTTAAGCGAAGATTTTTTATAGCTTGATTTGTTGGTGTATCTGTTACTGACCAGTAAGTAGCCATTACACGTGTATTTCCCATTGTATTCGATTGTACATATGCATCAGCTTCTTTCATATTATCAAAATATAGTAATATAGCACCACGTCCAGATGATAAATATCCATTTGATGCTAAAGTACTTAAACGTTTTAATAAATGAATATTACTTTTCATTAAACGTAATATATAACCACAACATGAATATGAATTTGATAGAATACATTGACGTTTATGTATTGGCCAATCAGATTTTTGACATGTTTTACTACAATAGATTTGTTCACAATATGGACATGTTATTAATGTTCGTTGTTTAGTTGCTGAGGAAGTTAATTGAATAAGTCTTGAACATGTTGTACAATGTTGAAGCTAGAAAGCAAAAAAAAATATAAATTGAAATATTACATATTGCCTAAATTGTACCTGTTCTGTTTGAAGATTAAAATTTACACGAGGTCGAGGAGTTTCAAATGATACTATTGGTTTTTGTTTAGGAGTATCATTATTCTGTACAAAATTAACAATATAATTTGATTGATTAGAAACCTTATCTGTTTCTTCAACAGATAAATTTATTGAAAGTGGTATTGAAGACGGTCGTCGATTTAAAACTGGATATGCATGTTCAACGTAGGATTTTTCAATAGGTATGTAACGATCAGGCAATGGATTATGTAGCCAATTATCAAGACGAGAAACAAGTGTTTGTACTTGTTTATTAAGTGAAGGCCAGTCGACTAAATCTTTCAATGTATCATCTTCTTCAGATATTTCTGATTTATCTGAATCACTTTCAACAATAATTCTTGATGATGGTGATGATGATGCTGTTGTTAATAAACGTTCCGAAACACATGTATAATAAGCACTATCATCTTTATTTAATGTTGTACTACTATTACTACCTAATGTAGTACTATTTGTAGTAAAACTTGCATAACCTTCATCTGCATCACCACTTTGATAATGATGATGATGGTGATGATGACGATGAGATATTTTACGTTTATCAACTTTTGGTGAATTATTTATTGAGCTTCCACTGACACTACTACAACTTGTCGATGATGTATATGTACGTAATTTTCGTACTTTGGATTGTTTAACCAAAGGGTACGATTCATAATTATCATCAGTTTTAATCATTAAGAAAATTATATCTAAAAAGAAAAACAAACACAGACATACATTGAATAGAATTGTATGAATGAAGAAAAGTTAACATTTATTCATTCATTCGTGCATGTGACTATAAAATCAAACAAAGGTATTGTTTCTTTTTTTTTTTGTATTTACAAAGTTCGTATGAATAGAAATGTTCAACGACATCCTTGGACAAAATGCGTGTATGTCTATTTAAACACTCGTCATTTCAAAACAAAACAAAAACAATTGATCATCATCAAACGATTTGAAAGGTAAATGTCTAAAAAGAGCTGCACATTGACACTGAGACAAAAAAAAGCTTGTAGAAAATGAATGCTTTTACCTTGTACTTAAAAGAGAATGCAATGCCATGTCGTTGAACTTATTCCTTTCACTTTCTTTTTTTATTCAATTTTTTTTCTGCTTATTCTTTACTCATAGAATCGATTGCTGTTTGAATGTGTACATGTAAGCATATACATGTCAAAAAGAAAAAAAGAACGAAAGACGAATGAAAATTTGAATTTGATTCAAACCGTACAATTAAATCTAAGGTATCCGTAACATACATTTTGAAGAGTAAGTATACAAAAAGTTTTTTTGCTGCAAGCACATTGCATATTACAACTCAGTACGATAATGGATGACGATGCAATTTAATAATCAAATATATTTGTGTTAGAATGAAATAATGACAAAGAATTCAAATCCATTTTCATAATACATTATTATTTCACAACTAGAACAAAATTGTTCATAAAAGAAAGAAACAAGAACATATATGTATTTTCAATTTTTAATATATGTTCAATTAACGTTTATTTTCTTGCTTCCTTATTACATCACTAAAAGAAATTTTAATAATAATGCTTTTTTCTTTTTTTTTTTCATGTCATTTCTAATGAGTCTAATCAACAGCGAAGAAATATGTGGCAATCACGCAAACAATGATCGACGGTTCTTTGTCGTTTTTCTACATACATAATCAAAGAAAGTGATTTGATTACACAATACAGAGAAAGGACAATTCTCTTAGCTATGTATCTAATGAAATGTATCAAAAATGTTGTGATGTAATCGAAAAGAAACTATTTTTTTCTTCCTTGTTAGTCACAACAAAATAACAATAACAATAGAAAAGTATAATTATGGAGAGACCTTGAAAAATAAACGAGATTATTGATTCGATATTATTGTTTTCAAGAAAAAACAAGATTGACATGGATTATATGGAGATAGCATATGTATATTTATCATGTTTACGGTTTTATCAGTAATAATTGCGAAATGCGTTTGTATTTTTGTATCGATCAGTTTACTTTCTCTGATAATTCATTCATTAGAAAACAAGAAAAAAAACTATTATCATATGTTGCAAAAAAAAAACAAGACTACTTCTATTTAGATAATGTTTGTAATGATAATGTAAACGAAGAAGAAGAAAACATTTCTGCTTGACCATAGAGCGATTATCAATAAATTGCGTCGGACAGTCTAAAGAAAGCACAAGCATAACATAATCGATTGTCCATCATAATAATGCGTATTACGTTATTAGAGTATAGCAGAGAAAAAAAACGAGATATTTTCTTGCATCGTTTAGTAATCATTTAGTATAAGAAAGAGGTTCGAATTCATTCGAAGATTGACATTATTACAAAAGAACATGGCTACTTATTATTCTTATGTCTTATCTCTATTGGTTTTATTACTAATTACACATGTAAGTATTGAAAATTAAATCTATTTGTTCATTGATTTTTGTTTGTTATGCCTTACTCTAGTGGACTAAGACTGCTAGTCTTCATGTGCCATTATATTCATTTCAAAATAAAACTTTCGACCATCGAAATTCTCCAATTATCAATAGCGAATATTCAAAGTCGAAATCTATAAATGCTCAATTACCTTTGATAAAACGGCACAAGCGTTGGAAAAAAAATACAGATAATGATGAGCTTGAAATTGCAATCGATAAATTATTTATACCTGTAAATAATTCTATTGATATATCTTCATCAAATTCATTTCAGTTCAATATGACAACATTTGAAGTATATTCAGATGAAAATACAACTATGAACTATTCATTATTAAGACAAAATTCGACAGAGGTAAATCAAACAGATGATCATATTTCAATGTCAATTATTGAAAATGTCCTACAAGATAATAAAACAGATACTAATGATACAATTTTTTCACCAAAAATGTTCAATGAACTTATTTACATTGATTCAATAGATTCAAAAACATTTATAACAAATATTACTGATATTTATCAAATAATTACTAATGATAAAAACGAATCCATAACTGATGAAATCAATAATTTACCTAATGAATTTCAATCGACATCACTTTCAATTATTTTCAATCAAACCATCGATGAAGTTGAATCAACTACTGCTAGTATTCATTTAGATTACACTACAATATCTTATACTACAACCGATAATAATCAAACATACGAATGGGGTTTATTATTTAATGATAAAACCGAAACCATTCCGTCTAATGATTCTTCTACAATCGCAACAAATAATGAATTTACAATCAACTCAAATATAATTGATCAAGATATGAATATAAATAATACAAATATAATTATTGATGATATTAATCAAAATTTTAATGCAACTTCTTTTTTATCATTAAAATCAATAAACATGTCCATATGTGATCGTTCATGTCAATGTATAAAACAATGTCCATATGGTTTTGAAATTCTTAATGATACATGTCGATGTAATCCACCATGTAAAGTAAGTTATTAAGAATACGAAAAAAAAACGAATTTTTAAATATACATTCATTTAAATAGAATTATCAATGTTTCGGTAATGATACATGTATTATAACAGATAAAGGACAACCTTTGTGTCAATCAGAAAATGGCATCGAACATGGTACAAAAAAAAAAAAAGAAACAAGATAATAAAAATGATTGTTATAAAAATTTGTAATTTTATTTCTAGATCGTCCAACTCGTTGTTATCAACCACGAGATGCTGGATATCATGATATTAATATTCAATATCATAATCGTTGGTATTATAATCCTGATCAAGATACTTGTCATTTATTTATTTATCGTGGTTTGGGTGGAAATGAAAATAATTTTCAAACATTACATGAATGTCATTTAGAATGTATAAGTAAGTTTCTTCTTTCTTTTTATAAAAACTGCATTTGTTGTTGTTATATTTTTAGTATGTGCTCCATTACCGAATCCAGGTGAATGTTTAGGTCATGTTGATATGTGGTATTATGATAATAAAAAAAATGAATGTAATCAATTTGAATATTCAGGTTGTAGAGGTAATCAAAATCAATTTTTAAAAAAAGAAAATTGTATTGATACATGTATTAATCGTATACGTATGCTAAAATAATTGATTTATATTTATATCTTTTAATATTCTTAATTTTGTGTGTTTGTATATGTAAACATTTGTTTTGTTTTGTTTTTTGATAAAATTTCATTAATATTGACGTAATAATTTAAAATATTTCATTCAAAGAATAGTGGCCGGTTATGAATATCGAATGGTTTAAAAAAAAAAATAGTGAAATCTTAATTTTCTATATGATGGTTGGCATCGTTTAATATTTGCAAATGTTAGAATAAAAGAAGCTTCTCGTATGTTAGGATAAAATTTAATTTTAATGAAAAAAAAAAGAGGAAAACAATACTACCATTATCAAGAAGCTTGTTATCTGCTCCATTTATTATATTTTTATTGAATAAAGATTGAAAATGGTCATATAAAGGTGAATATTTGTAATATCAAAACTATTTTCATGTTAGTTTTGGTTGAATGATTGGTACATAGAAATACATACTTACAATTAAAATTTCATACATGATGGGTGTGGCTGCGTGCTTGTATCTATGTCTGTGTGAGTGGGTGGATGTGCTGAAAACACATATTCACAATCTCAAGAGACTATTCTCAATAATAGTAATTACACAACTGCAAAAGAATACTAATATTTCAATTGAATTAAGTCATATAGATTTTTCTTAAGTATACAATAGGGTACCAATCAGAACTGGTTTATTTAATTTTTTAATATTTAGAATTGCCAACTCCTGCTTGATATTGAATAAAAGCAAAGAAGAAAAAAAGTTTTCTTCACCTTGTCAAGCAAATGTTTACTTCGAATACATTTCATACTAATGAATATCTTCAAAATGGCAGAGAATTTTAACCTCGACTACTCTAGATACATAAGTGTTTGAGAAAAAAACCTTCTTTTCAATATGAATATGATCTTTATTTAACTGCCTAAAAAAATGTGTTTAAATGTATAAATAAAGATTAAAAGAAGAAAAACAAGATGACATTTAATTAAAATTGCATTTTCATTGGTTTAGGTAATTTTGTTTTATGTTCAAGTAACATATCCGTATCCATAGCAATACCAGCACATGCCGAAAAAATATTTGTTATACATCGATGTTGTTTAAAAAGTGCATTTATAACAGGTGTACCTGGTGGAACCATTGGAGCTTTAAGCAGATAAGAAAGTATTGATAAAACAGCTTCAAATGTTTGATAGCCTTCATCATCATTGGTTTTATATGTAATACGTGTCATTAATTCAGTTAATATAACTAAATCAATAATTAATGGTGAAGCTAAAAGTGAATCTTCACATGTATTATGAATAACTATTGTATTAAGACCATTCATAAATATTGATGATATGTATTCATCCATAGCTCGTTTTGAATCTAATAAAATAAAGGAATATTTTTTTTTAATGCGAATTTGAAAAAAAAATTGTTACCTTTAACGAATGGTACATATTTAATAACAACAACATGATCTGGATGTTCATTAATTTTTTTATCATAAAGTAAATGATTAGCTCCAACCATATCATCAACAACATTTGATTTACTTATTTCTTTTGAACGAAATTGTTGTGGTGCACTTAAATTTTTACCATCATTATTACCTAAATGATTATATGAAACGATTGATTGAAGTTTTAAACCAGCTGATACAAGAAAATCAGCAAGAACTGATTTTAATTTTGTTTGTCCACTTTTAAAATCATCACCACCAATAAAAACATGATGTTTTTCAGCAAGATCAATTATGCCTGGTACTAATGTATTTTGTGGACTACCATTGATATATGGACAATTTTCTAAAATAGCTGCACAAGCAAATATATTTGATGGACTTATTTCATCTTCATTATCAGCAATCGATCGAAGAAGTTCTTTACTTGTTGTATTTAAACCTGGACGAACTAAAAAAAGAGAAACAATTTTAATGATGAAAAATAATTTCTTTTTCTCTATAACCATCAACATAACGTTCAGTATTAGCTGTCCATAAAACGATAACTTGTTCTAAATTATGAGTTCTTTTAAATATTCGAATATCATTTCGTATATGATCTAAATCTTGTTGTTTTGTTCCTTTTGGAATTAAATTATTTGCACGATCTTCTTGATTGGCAGCAATGAAATCTGGATAGTAAATTGATGGTAATGGTTTTAATTTACTCATTTTTGCTTTTAATTTTTCTTGTAATGCATAATCAAATACACATGCTCGTTGCATAGCTTCACACAAATTTGCTTCATTTATATCCCATCCACCAATAACAATATCATTTGGATGTAACATTGGTAAAATTGTATTAAATGGTATATGAACTTCTTTACCTTCATTATTACTTCCAAGACGAATTGTTGTTGATTGAGTTAATGAACCATAATAATTTGGATATTGTTCACCCTCTAAATAAATAATGAGTAATAGAAAAGTCTACAATAATTTGGTTTTCTGAGCCTTCATTCTTGAGACATCAAAATTTTAGTGGATTTTTCAACCAAAAAGCTTTTATCTTCACTTCTTGGGAATGATTTTTTTCTAAGATTTCGCTCAATATGTTTTGTAACAGTTAAAAAAGACCAAATGACCAAAGTATGCTCACCTTTACGCATCCATGTAAGTTGATCTCGATTAGCAATAATAGCACCAGTAACTGTGGAACCATTATTTCCACCCCAGCCAACAAGCATAACACCTGTACGTTGTACTTGACGTTTCGTACGAAAATTATATTGATATTTTCGTGGAATAATTTTAACTTCTTTTGCTTGATGATCAACTTCACAATGATTCATTTCATATATATAGTTACTTTCAATAAATTCATTCGAATAAATTGTATTTTTACCAGTAACTTGAATTGTATAATCCGATGGTACACCTAGAAAGATAAACAAAACAAAATTAAAAGAAAAACAATAAATATTTGAAAATTTTTACCATCATGATCAGCTGGATTAATAGCTTGATCATCTTCACTAAGTGTATTTACTTCAACAATAGCTGTTGATTTCGGATTCAATGGTGTTGTTGGAATACGACCGTTAGCTGGCATTGTTCTTTATATGTTATGCTAAAAAAAGAAACGAAAATTTTTAAAAAAGAAATATACCCAAATCGATGATTACTACAATAACAAGAGATCGAAAAAGGCTAGATCTGAGTTAATATGCTAAAAAATATCGTATATATATATATATAGATACGTATGTGAAGATGGAGGTCAGATTAAGTGCATTGTACACATCATTGAGTAGGAGGTAAAGTATGATAAAGAAATAAACTTTTCGTTTATACTATTATTCACCTTTACCCTACCAATTTTCTGCATTAAAAATCACCCCATTCCCTATATCAAATATTTGCTTAAATTACACGATATTATATGAATTGAATTGATATTCTTTACGAAGAGGTTTCTATTGATTTTGTGAATAACCTCAAGAAATAATTCTTAGCAAACATAAATTAGAGCAAAAGAACTATTCTCTTGGTAAATATACTTTATTATTTAGTGAATTCAACCAAATAACTAAATCAATATACTTCAAATACCATAGCATGGTAATCTTAAATCAATATTGTGTTGTATATTATCGAAGTTATAAAAAAAGAACTTACAAAAAGAACATTATTTATCAAGAAACTATTTTTTTTTATGATTTAGAAAAATATTTGTGTTATAGATATCAAATAATTGCACTCAGAGTACATGCACTTTCTGTCACGATTCAAAACTTTTGCTTGTGTTCTTTTCGATCATTCTATAAAATATCTACATATAAGGAACTATAGTCAAAATTTTAGCATGATATGTACTTTTAAGAACATTCTGGTGTGTACACATATACCCCATCTATTAAAGCTTGACGAAAATGCGAAAATATTAGACGAAATAAGTCGACTTATTTCGAATTGGGACATCTACCAAATCACAAATATTGTTTTTCGTCTATTTCAAAACCAGACATTTAGAAAGGTTTTATGGTTGTCTAGTATGAATTCTTTACTTTAGTTGTTGTACTTCTTTATATTTAAAAAAACTATCGCTATTTGAGAATACAAAACACAAATCTAAAAACCGAGGTTTAATCTTGCAAAAAATTGTTCTCGGATTACCTCATCGGAACTAGAAGAAATGCGAAAATTTGAAATAGTACCGAAGTCAGACTGAGATCGAGACCTAAAAAATTAATTTTGCACATTCCTAGCTTATAAGCTTAAATATTTCTTTATATGTAAACCAAAGTCATTTTTGGCATTTTTGTATTCTGAAAATAATTATTGCAGTCAAAATGAGCCATCCTATCTAAAAATAAATGCATACAGTGAATTAGTACAAAAAAAGGTATTGATTTGCTCTATCATATTTTCACCGAAAGCGCATACACTTAGAAAACCTGACACTTTTGGCAGATGTCATTGATGATGCAATTTAATTGTGACGACAAAATTCATTTAGCATTCTGCTTGCGCATGACACATTGCCACCTAAGAAAACATGCAATCTGATTGATTGTCTTCACTTTCTATTGGGAAAGAAACCATGGCTCAACAGTACACAATACGTAAGTCTACATCATGTACATCAAGAGTATCAACAAAGTCGAACGGTAAAGCCAATTTGAATAAAATATCTCGTGTCATTTGTTATTCATACCTCGAATATTTTTAATTTATTAGAGAGTTATATCGCTAGATCATGTGTGTTAATATAGTACTCTTGATAACTTCGTCTTAATGGCAAATAATAAGGATCTTGCCAATTATATAACCGAATTTATTAAATGAAATGGTGCTGAAAACCTGAAACGTTTTTACTCAAGGACGACTCGATCGACGGAGTCAATGTTTCTGGCCTCTGGTGCAGTTTTTTTACAAGTATTGGAATTGCTGTATCTTATGAAACTCGTGATCAATATTATGATAAACATTTTTTTCTATATTCTGATAAATTAACAAACTAAGGTTGCATTCTATTGTGTAGAAATCCTTTTTTTCGTAAAATGAATATACTTATAACCAGTGTTATCTCCAACCAATTCTAATAAAAATGAGATCAGTTTATATGAGTAAAAGCAATAGTTAGTCCGCATTGAGCTATCAATAAGTGCTCTGATTTCGAAGTGAAAACGAATTTCATTTTTATTTGAGTGAGCAATCTGAGAATATGAATAATTTAGCTGATTTATGATTATTAACGATTGCCGACGTTCGTATTTATAGTATTCTTGGAAAAGTCTTATGGATTGATATTGAAACTATATGCTGAAACAACTCTATTTATGGATTGCTATCATTTAATCAATGTTCTGTCTTATAGTAACTCTTCTTTAATTTTTTAATAATGTTTTAGTACAATACTCGTTATATTTTAAACCTTT